TCAATAGTAGGCTTCGCATGACGATGCAATAATAGTGGCACGGCGGAAACATATCGCCTACTAGAGGTCATCGTAACGACACCTGAGAAGAGGTGAATGAAAATGGCTGACGTCAAAGGGTGGAAGTGGCAGCCGTATAAAACCGGAAGCAATTGCTTATCAACGAAAGACGATGTATCCAACCAACATTCGAATAGAGCAAGGAAAAAATACAATGTTGAACAAGGGCTTCACTACTAGGAATGGACATTGACGGAAGCTATAGTTTTGGACCAAACAATTAGTGAGCACGGAAAAAAGCCCTAAAAATAGGGAGCAAACGCTTTCCCAGAGTTGGATGCCGAACACCAGGGGCCCAGCGAACAAGAACGAGACGATTTTAATGAGTGTGATGCACTCGAAAATGTCTATGCAGACCGATCTGGGCAGGCGTCTTCAAAGCAATAATTGAGAGAGGAAAATGAAGTCTGTCCAGAGGAACAGGGAAGCTCTACGCTAACATCGGGTATAGAACTGTATCCGGAAGTGCGTTCTTCTGGCTGGGACACGTGTCCCTATTGACTGCTGCTCTACAAAGGAAAGAAGTTTATAACTATCTCCATTCGAGCAAGAAGGAACGGAAGGCGAATGCAACAAGATAAGGATAGGCGGCAATTAAAAAAGCGAAAGAAAACGTGATGCACGCTGGCAGGAAGGTTGGGAAGAGAGGAGATCGGCAGTGGCTCATAGGCCTATCCGAAATATCTCCAAATGGATAAGCCGCAAACACGGGTCCGTGGGAACAACCACTTAACTAGGCATTCACTGGGCTGGACTTTTAAGACATACCTTAAAAGATTTTCAGCAGACAGAAGACGCGGTATGCTTCTAATGCAACATGAAGTGGAAGACGCCGACACATACGCTGGTTCGCAGCTCTGCCCGAGATGGGACACCGCTAGGCATCGCATGATATGGGAGGTCTGCGTGTGTGTAATGTCTCCCAGAAACATGGTCAACTTATGATCTGGTAACAAGGCGAAGTGGGACAGATAGAGAAATACATACCCGCCATTTCTCAAAAAGAAGGAAGCAAGCAAAGAAAGCAGTCATAGCTGAACTGATAACACTCGAAAGTGAAACAGGCTGCAGCCTCCTGAGTAATCGCATAACTGCGGTTCAGGGTGGATAACGCCAGGCACATAAGGGGTTTTGTGGTTTTAGTGGGTAAAAATCCTCACATGTTGAGGAGTGCGGGCTCTCTTCGTTTTTAAGAAGATTTTTCCCACAGTTCCCCTCGTTAAAAAAAAAAGATAGATAGATAGATTATAACCACACACATCGTGTGACTGCCCCGCCTCTGGGGTCGATGACTCAAGGACGAACACCACGGGCAATGACTGTGGGTGCCCGACCGCCTTGCTAATGGGCAAAGTTGTGAGGCTGCTGTCGCCTGATCGCGCCGCCGCCTGGCCACACCGCATCAACCACGGGCCGCCATTCCCGTAACAGGGGCGAGACCGCAAGGGTGCCGCCTTACTTCGAAGGATGAACTCTGGCCCGTATGGCCGAATTTAAGATAAGTTTGTTGTAAGCTAGTTTTAAGGACTAATTATAATGGGAGGCTTCACCTCATGAAAAGGGAATATTAAATCCACATTTGAAAGAGAATAAGCCCTATCACGCATTCCTCCCTTTAAAGAGTATACGGACTAAGCAGCCGGGGCAACGCTGGATCGCCGTAATCAGGTGAGTCGGGGAAGCCACACGGTTCGTGTCTACATTATATTTTTTTTAATGTTGCAAAAACAATTGCTCTTTTCTAAATTGCCTTAAATGTACAGCTAAATTGCCTTAAGACGTACGGAGTAACAAACGGAGTATTTAGAGAGGTATTATGTATGTGGTAGAGATGTAGTAAATTGATTATGAGATTTAAACGGAAAAACACGTTTTGTGGTCTTCAGTTACCAAGAGAGTGTTGCTTTTGTTTCAGAACGTTCATTTCCATCAGTACGTCAGCTGCTCTGTCCGTCTTGTCTGTCTGTAAACAACTCTAGTGCCTGAACTATTCGTAGAATTCTTGTCAAAATGAATTTTCAATTAACGATCTGGCCCGAATCGAGGCCCTGCTAGTTTGAAAACACTTCTTTTAAGTTCTGCAGGTAATTTAGTTGAAGCCCCTGGGGGGGGGGGGATTTTTCTCCAAAACGGCTTTAAAGTTTTTCATCCTAACTACAGTCGGGAACCCGCCACCAACGGTAGTAGAACACTAGTACCCCCCTCCCCTGCCCCCGTCAGTGACCCTACAGAGAAAACTACATCGATACCACTGAGCTATCGCAACATTGGCAAAATAACGTAAAAGTATCGTAACATTGGCATTCTAAACAACTACTTTTTTTAAAAAAAGGAACAAAAATGAAATTCAAAATTACCGGCCAATTTCTCTTTTGTCGGTTTCTCAAAAATATTAGAGAGGCTTTTCTCTATGCCAATGGTAACATATCTCAGGAAACATATCAGTTCGTTTACGTTGCAATTAGTTTTCTATAACTCGGGAACGAAAATGTCTAGTTTTTTTCAAATACTGCTAATATCGCGCTTTTTTAAACTTTACTTTTATTCTTTTTTAAATTATATCTTTAACTTTTACTCATCTTTCAACTATTTATAGTTAAAATGATGAGAACGGATTCTGGAACTCAAGGAAACGAGCGCAGATAATCTCCCCCAAATGTCACATACAGTTTTCCTGTTTTTTGACTAAATAAATCTAATTTAATCTAATCTAGCTATTTTACTGCTTACATTTACATTTGTCAAATGAAAACTTGACTTGAAAAATTGCTTTCGGCTATCAATTACATGTATGTAAAATCTAAAACAAAATCATGACACATTTCCAGTATTATACTACTATATATTCCAGTATTATTTGTAAATTGTGTGAAGTAACATCCTAGGCTTTCATGGACGGAGTCAATAGAATACAAATTTCCGGGCTGGTAAGTCACGGTCCAGTTGGCATTGAAGGGCCAATCCCAGTTGGCCCTTCAATGCCATCTGGACCACGGCCTACCAGCCCAGAAAATTTATCTTCTGTATGAAGTAAGTTAATTATTTGTAAATAAAAGTTTGTAGGGTGTACAATCTGCATGGTTTTGGGGGTGAAATGCAAAACCATGCACATTGTTTAGATTAATTCTATTGTATTTTAATTGATATACTCATTTGCCTATTCAATTAAATGAGAATAGTGTGCTGGGGACTATTAATTTAGTATACAGCATCTTTTTATAAAAAAAGGAATCAGGTAAATGGCTCTCATATTATATTGAACATCCAAAGCTAATTCTAATTATCATTTTTTTACTGTTGGTTACAAATAATTTTTATGAATCTTCAAGAGTATGCAAAATGAAGCTTGCTCTCAACCACAATTAAAGACTTGGTACAAGAGATTCAGGCATGTAAATGAATTGAATGAATTGTTTTGGGGACTTGGCATTTGTTAAAAGTAATCTTATAATTCTGAGGATTGTAAGCATTGATGGTAACTGTGTCTCTTAAAAACTGTCGTTAATTCATATTATTTAAAATTTAATAAATGCTAATTGAAGACAATGGTTTCAGTGTAAAAGAAGTTAAGAGAATCGATTTCTCAAGTCCTTATTTATAGAAAGGTATTAATTTCTAGTTTTCAAGACTTATTTTAGTGCTCTACCTACATAAATTATATCAAATCTATAATTTCAGATATTTAATGTAAGAAATATTTCTCATTCAATATCGATAAGACTTTTTTTTTTAATTCAGGCTGACATGTATGAATTGTGACACAAAATTCATACATTTTCACAGTGAGTAATAATTTGATTTTGAACCAAAGGCATGTACAAACTAAAACTATTTGTCAATTATTATGTTTTATTTTCATAAGACTATTTTGTTGTTTTTTGTATATATATTTCAAGTTTTAAAAAAATACATATATACAATTTTTTAAAGATATTCTCTTTATTATATTTCATGTTCTAAAGGCTGCATATAATTACTGGGGTGGCCAGCAAGTGTGTGTGTGTGTGTAGGGGGCAGCTGGGGCAACTTGCCTCAGGACCCAACTTAATTGGGGCCCCAAATTTTTTTTTCACTCAATATATTTTAAAATATATTCAACTCTAATGATTAATTCTATTCATGAATTGGATGAGGAGGGAATTTTCTGTTTGAAATGAGGGGCCCTTGTGGATCAATTGCCCAGGCACCTGGTTTTCTATGACTGCTTCTGTATAATTGTATCTAAAATATGTTTCACCTGGCAAAGCAAAAATGATTGCTTCTAGTTTTGTATGTTCCTGATCATTTTTAATCTATTAATAATGTAAATATTTCCGGTGTACAACTTGACACCTTAAATTTAAAATAATTCATTAACATATTTTCAATTTCAGTGTAAGAATTAATATAAATAACTGTTGATAGATATTATGTCATCATGTTAATGACTACAGCAAAAGTGTTTAATAAAACCATGTGAGAAAACATAGTTTTTCGAACCTTATAATTCTAGGCAAAACAATCATCTCGTACCTTTAAAAAAACGTACCATATCACGTGCCACGCTTTGGCGAGTTAAGTTCAGGCCCACAGTTGGTACGCCCTTTTAAGCCATGACGTAGCCAGAGACCTCGTCTCCCCGCAATGGAATATCAAGAAAACTTGCGCGTATAGTACATATTAAGATGTTTTCATCTTTTTTCTCGATTTTAGAAATGAATCCATATATTCCATACGTAATGGTTATTTGTAAAGCTCTAAATGTTCATGTAATTGCAAATTTTTTGTGGCTGGTATATAAATATGTTTTGTGTCTGGTATATAAATAATTTGGCTCAATTGGCCTTATTTTTAAGTAAAAATTATTAATGCATAGCTTAAGAGTTTCATGGTCAGGACCACATACTCTCTACCTTAAATTCACTGCAGTTTCCCTCCACCATCAGCCCAGCCTAACGGTGACGTCACGGATGGGTGTTTGCTATTGGCCAGCCAAGACTAGCATCGACGTCACTCTTTGCCAAGCACGTGTCTCATGCGACCCACAGTAGTTGTTTGCAGTTGTTTGTCAGTATAATTAGAGTTGCATATATACGTTTTTATACGTTTGGCAGTTTGTGCTTCAAAATTTTGACCAGATTTTGAAGGAAATGCCGATTTTTCGGCGTTGTTCGCATCACAATTGCCACATTAATGTAATAGGAAACGCGGAAAATACAAGACAAAGTAAGTGATATTAATATTTTGCATGATGTTAAGAATAGTTTTAGGATATTTATTTACAATATTGCTTTAATTACTGCAATATTGTTCCCCTCATTTTTTGTAAAGTTCTATTATTTCTGTTTGCAATAACATTAAACTGAATATAATAATAATTTATAATAATTTTTTTATTGCTTATAAACTTACATAAAGCATCAAGCAAAATCAGTCTAGAAATTAACTACAATTACAGTAAGTTAATTTCATGAACTTTTAGTAATACTGTAATAAGTTTACATTATCTTTCTAAATTACATGATAAAAATATACCTAATTGACTAATATAGACCAGTACTTTAATTTAAGTTGTAACAAATTACTTTCAATTACATATCATACAGTAATAATTCCAATTGTTTACTCAAGGAATTACATGAATAATAATGCAATTTCTCATAATAAACATTTAGGTAAATTACATTTTAAACTACACAAAGTTTCATTAACACATAACAAATAACATTAACAATAAACTAGTAGTTATGATAGTGGCAAATAGCTTACAATTAGAGTAAGTAATTCCCTTATCTTACAATAGCAATTTAATTAACTTACAATAACTTTAATACAATAGGTATATGATTAATGATAATAATTACATTAATTACAATATCTTGACATGTAATTACATTATTTACTACATTGCTGAATAGTATATTGCCTTATTGGACTGAATGATGACAGATACAAAGAGTGGTCACTCTTGTAGCGGTACATGGTTTTTAATTACAGAAAGTTAGAGCAATTCAGATATCTTGTATGGACACACACTAATGTGAATAATATGACGTTTAAGCAGTGTTTTGAAGTATTTATCATCAGCAGTTTTTATTTTAACTGAGAGTTTATTAAAGAGCAGTGCAGCAATGCAGGAAGGATCTTTGTTAGTTGAAGACTTGCTAGTGCATATCCTGTGGTAGTCTCTATGTTCTCTAGTATGGTGGTTATGTATGTTTCATATGTAGTATGGTGGTTATAATGAATTAATAGTATTATTCTTTACAATGTCTTGCTTTGAATTTAAGAAATGACAGTTAAAGATCCTCCAAATATTAGAAGGATTATCGAGAAACATGCCTTCATGTTATAGGTGTATATTTTTGTGAGACAGAGTTTTCCCACTGTTGATTATATTCCATAATGTTTTAGATTTATTTGTTGAGTTGTTAACTTTATTATTTAATTGATAAACTTTCTCATTCATCAGTTTTACCCTATACTGTTTTTTAGACTGTTTATACTTTTCATTATAAAACAGGTTCTTAGTATCTCTGAACAGGTCTTACATGATTTTTATTTTATTTCTAAGAACAAGAATTTCATTTGAAACATTTTTTTCTTCTTCTTTTTTTTTCCCCCTTACATTAATCTCTTAATAATGGGACATACAATATTCGAGTGACTATTTAATGTACTCAGGGAATAAGTTCCATTTTTCATTGATATTGTTATTGTTGGGTACTTCAGTCCATTCCTCTTTTAGTAGACCTTCATTTAACAAATGTAGTTTAGTACCCCATCTGTCATGGGTGAATGTGTATTTAGGTAGTTCAAGAATGGGGCAATTAATTGTTTCAATGATTTGTGAAGTGTGATCAGATAGATGGAAATCAATATTATGAGAAGAGTATTTATACATTTCAATATTTGTAATTTGTAATGAGTATTTGTAATATGGTCTATGGTAGAGTTGGAATGTGTTGTAATAAGTGTTGGCCCTAATTCTAAATCATGAAGATTAAAGCTCTTTAGTAAATCATGCAATTCACTGTGTTCAATATTAATGTTCAGATCTCCTAAAATAATTAACGCACAATTGTTGTTTCCTATAAGTTTAGTTAAAAGTTCTTCCAACCTGAGTAGAAAGTCATTAATGCTCGAATTTGGGGATCCATAAATGCCTACGATTTTTGTTTCCTTTCATTGTGCTTATACCTGCTACTTCAGTAGTCATTTCGATGCCCATATCTGTAATGCAGTCTATTGATTTGCACATTAAATTATTCTGGACTATTATTGCAATGCCACCACTTTTGTTAAATTCCCTACAGAAACATGCATGAAGATTAAAGTTAGACAATTTAATTGTATTAATTTCATTATATTTTAGACCATGTTCAGAAGTGACTTCTACATGTATAAAAGTTTCTTCAAGTATTGTCTCAAACTGTTTAACCTTGCTATGTATGTACTGAATATTTTGGTGAATTATATTGAGGACACCATTTTGTTTCAAATTTCTACCACATGTGTGTTTTCTTGATTGCTAAATGTCAAGGGGTGCCTTCTTCTTTCATGTTTGCCATAAGTTGTAAGAGGAAGTAATGTGTGTTTTTATTACTATTATATTGTGTTATATTTGTATTACTTAGCAATTTATATATTACAGATTTTATTATAGGTTTATGAAATGGCTGATGGGAATTAGGACCTAATACTAGCTTCTTGTCCATGGAGGACATGAACAGGAGGTAGTTTGTCTGCATATCACATTTTGCCAGAAATGTTGACTGAAAAAAACAGCTGTGTGGAGTGCACTCCCTAGTAAAATTTCTTGACAATGCCCTGAGTTGCCTAATGGAGCATCCAGAGCATTTAGAACAAGATGGCCAGCAAACAAGTGTGACACACTTATAATATTCACTCTATGTAGTTATAAGAAAGCTTTGAAATATTTTCATCTCAATCATTTCTTTGTACTTGATTCGCAGGACCTGCCCCAAACATTGCACCTTTCATTCAGGCTTCCTTGCATAACCTGGTGAGTACAGAAATACATTTATGAAGGCGAGACAGCACTATGCATCTTTAATTTCAATAATGCCTCTTTTTGTTTTACAGGCGGCTCCCTACCTGCTGGAAAAGAGAGTGCAAGACATCCTGGAGATAGCATTTATTCCAATAAATGATACAAAGTATAATACTGTCAATTTTGGTAACCTGTTGGTATTGCTGTATGGTAATTTTGGATTTAAAGTGGTAGGCCTCAGTATATAGTTTTGGTCATGGTCCATTCAGATCTGTAATTGTCTGTTCAGAAAGTAGGCAATCTTTGACAGGTTTTAAAACTAATTAGTATTACTATGGAATGTATTCTTCCACCAAACACATGGGCTGGAGTGGGAGTATCAAGAGGGAGAGTTCAGTGCTTATAGTTGGAGGTTAGGGATAGTTTTCACAAGTGATTTACATTGTTCCAAGACTGTCATTACAAAGAATGTTATAAGAATTGATACAAATAGTGCGCAAAAGATGGGACTACATATGCAAGTGAATTAACTCGTGGATGTAAATCAATATGCCATAAATTTGAGTTTCAAGAGATCCTGTATTGTTTTCTTTCAATATATTCTTTATTAAACCTGCAACTCACTATACTAGCTGCCAAACTGGAAGTCCAGTGGTCGTGCAAAGAGAGAGGGAGTGTATATTATTGCTTTGTTGCCAAATTGCTGGTTACTCTCTTTCTCTCCCTCTCTGGTAGACCTGTCATTACGAATTCCTAAGAAAGGGTCTTAACACCTCCCTACCTCCAGAAGATTGGAACAATTAAGAGGCAATATTTTTGACGAGTTTTTAAAACAATTCACTTGTTCGAAGCCATTTTTTTCTTGATTATTAGTTGTTGACACAATTGCAATTCTATTCTCTCTTTAAACTACAATTGAATTTTCTGCAATCCAGAACGGTGTAAGTGACATTTTATAAATTCTGTGAAAAAGTGTTTATTTTATGCTACATTTCAGTGGCAATGTATGTTTGTGGTTTTCATGAACAGTTGAAATGCTGTGGTGTTGATGACGAAGAAAACACGACAACTTTACAATAATATTGACTTAAATAAAGAGATTTCTCAGAATTTATAAAATGTCACTTGTACTGTTCTGACTTTCGCCCATTCAACTGTATCAGATAATATAGTATGATAAATAAAATATTCAAGATATTCTCTCTAAACTACAATTGTATCAGATAATGTAATACAGTAAATAAAGTATTTAAAATATTACTTTTATTTCAAAATAATGTGTAACGTAATGTTAGCTGCAAGACTTGTTTTTTATTGCATTTTAAGAATGCTGCAAGTTGAATACATTTTACTTTGCCCCTTCTTCCGTCTTTTATTCTATATTACGCTCAAGGTAAACGCAACAGTCGTTGATACTGAACTAGAAGTTATTATTTGCAGCTGTTCAATTTTTACTTAATTTTATAAAAATTTATAGTAAATAATATAAAATTAAGTATTAACATGTTAATCAAACATACGGGGGTTGGGGATGTACAAGATAGAAAATAAACACGCATCGATAACTTTCGTATCAACATATAATATAAAGTGAAATAAATTATCTAAAGTACAAAAACATTTCTTTTTATTATAGAGGGTGACGTCATCGTGTAGTCTGCGCTGTCACTGGTATCGCAACTTTCTTCTGACGAACCATTCATAACCTTTTATTATTGAGTCCATAATGTCGTCCCTCAAAATTTCCTTTAGAAAATATTCCTCTTGCGGAGTTTCGGCGTAGCGCACGCCCGAAGCCCAATTTGCCTGCGTCACAAGCTGCCGCTGCCCTCTGTTAAACTTTGGCATCGCCGAGAATAGGGTGGCCTGCATTCTCTTTCACAAACTGCATACATCACGTTTCGCGCTTGACTTGTCAGCACTTCACGCCTACGTATTTCTTCACACATATTAACTATAACCTTTGTTCGTAAAAACAACACGATGACAAGAAATGAGTCGATACGCGAGGAAGCACGGGAACTCTTCCGCATTGATGCAAGACTGAAGCCCATTCGCTCGTGACCGTCACGTCGTTTTTCCTTGCTACTGCGCATCTGCGCTGGGCCATTGGGCTTCCAAACTGGCGGCCAGTATAAATGGTCACAAGTTATGCATATAAATATGTTTTGAAAAGAAAGTTATAAAGTGCACTTTATCTATATAAATATGTTCATATGTGAATAGTCTCCATTTGGGGGAATGACAAGGATAATGGGGAACATCATGGTACAAACGCTAGTTAGCCAATGTTTGAGAAATGAGAATCATTTGTATGTGTTAATCTTGGTATTTGCCCTCAATTTAGTTTGACATCGGTGTGTTTTAAAAAAAATGCTATCATGACTACATAGAATAATAAAAATCTGTAATTTGTAATTGAAGACCTATTCAATACCTGTCACAAATATTATTAAGTAATTTGAGTATATCATCAATCTTTGGGTTTCAGCCGTCCATTTAATAACTTGCTGTGCTTTTTGACATCAATATATCATATGAAATACTTTAATACAAGTGAAACCTACTAAAAACTGTTCTGAAATAAATAAAGTAGAAATAGATTCAGTTAAATTTTTGTACCGTAAGCCTTTTGTGAGATAAGAGATTACACTTGTTTCTTGCAACATGACTTTTCTCCTGCACAATTTCACAATAATTTAGGACATTTAAATTCCTGGACTTCAATGATGTTGCTAATCAAAAGAATAGGCAAAATATGAATTAGTATTGTAAATAATTGAAAAAACATCCAATATGGGAATGATGACAGGTTCTAAAACACTTCAGTTATGATAGGTAAAACATATTCATATTAGCCATATGAGCTGGAATGCCAACTTATGTCTCAAAGTATTGGGTCAGTGGGTGCTGTTCGAGTTTAGAGATAGTTTTCATGAGTGATTTACAGTATTCCAATATCCCTAAAAAGAATATTTTAAGAATTTATAAAAGTCATATTGAAAAGGAGTTGGGAATATGTGAGCAAGTGAATTAAGTAATGGATGTAAACAGACAAGCCATAAATACTAAATTTCAAAGAACCCAGGATGCTTTTTTAAGACTTTCATTAAATGCTTTTTATGAAGCTTAATTTCTATCACAGAATTATGCTTGTAAATAATTGAAAAATGGCTCATTTCTTAGTGTTAATTACCTGAAATTCCACCCAATTTTGTGTGTAATCAATGAGTGCCAGAAAAATTGCTCACTTGACTGAACAGACACATGCAAATCTTTCTTTAATAATTAAAAACAGTTCAATATCTGATAGGAAATATTATGTAATTCTGAGTGATATTGTGTGTAATATTCATTGAACAATTTGCTGTCCTTTTGGACAATCATTATATTGTTGAAATGCAAATTTACAAATCTAAAAAGTATTTCGTGAAAAATCAATTTGAAGTAGTTTCTATTAAATCTTCTCCATTTCTTTTCCTACATAAGGCATAACATCATTTCTTGTAACACATTGTAAAATAGGTTTTTTCCTGTACATCCAAACTGCAAGACTCCAATATTTCACTAATCAAAAGAATAAAAGAAATCTGCCTCGGCAATAAGTAAGTTATAGTATATAGTATAATAAAGTTATAGTTTCACTTGCATACACATAATATGTACCAAATAGAAAGCTTTTGGGTTTTGTATAAAAAGTAAAAGAATGTCATTTTGAAAGATAATGGTTTTATGGTATGGGCAATCCCAACTATTTTACTTACATGTTTGTCTTGTGAACTATATACATAGCTCTTTGTATAATAGTTTGGGATTGTTACCAGGAAATGTACACTATTTTCTAAACATTTTTCATCACAACTGTTAAATGACGATTTTGAGATTTCTTTTATTAATGATATAATTTTAAGTATGTTTCATTTGATTATATTTTGTATTGTTAAGTTGCAGTAAAATTATGAGTAATGTTAGTCACATAATTGGCAGGGATTTATTCCTTTATTTCACATAACAGGATTTTTCTTCGTGCATAAAGTAAATTTTGTGTATATGTGAATGCGTTATTGTGAAAAGGGACCTAAGTCACAATTTTGACCATTTTGACTTTATGATGAGTTCATGTGTCTAGGGGTATATGCATCTTTTGGCGTAAAAACCGTCCTCATTGTACCATCACATGAAGGAAAAAAGTACAGATTTCATTGTAAGAAGGTACCTGAGTAACTAACTTTGGTACTTTTTTTAACAATACAAGGTTCTCTGCATTGATGAGTCGTATTGAGTTTTTCTGCATCAGCTGCTGCTAGGCAGTGGTTCAGATGTTATTGTAGACTTTGTTTGTCAATGTAAATGACCTCTGCAGTAATTACATCCTTTTTAACTATTTCATTCTGTTTTATCGAGATATTTAGAAAACGTTCATGGCAGTGAGCGAAACTGAGTCAGCTGAATCCCCCAAGGTGCAAAGGAAATGAGTCTGTGACCCTGATAGCTATAAGAGAAATATCAGAGCATCAATAGTCTGGTAAATCTACTGATGTCAACTTAATCGAAGAAAATAACATAATCCTAGATTTCAGAGGCTGGTGATCTTGCTACTACAAGAAAACCGTGTCATCACTTTAATGTAAGAACTTGCTTCAAGAAAAGAGTTTCTTTCCTCATATCAATATTTTACTACTTTGACTACTCTTGAGTCATTGGTAGTAAGTGGCCTCGTATTGATGAATGAATTGTTTTCGAATTACAATTGTTTTGAATACTGGTGTTCATTTAAAAATTTTAAATTAATGATTCAATGCGCATGTGCAAGTTAAGGATAGATTGCAGAAAGAACACAATTTAAAAATGAAATCTGACAAATATCATAAGAAAAAGATATAACATTCAGTGAAATAAATTAACTGTGTTATTGTATGTGTAAGTTTATGAATTTAACGCTTTCAGAAATGCATTTTTAACCCCCTTTTTTTCTATTTTTCAATTAGAAACAATTAAAAATTTTAAAAATTTGACTGTAAATCCGAATAATATAAGAATCCCAAAAAACACATTCTAGAGAACTTAAAGTTGATTCTTTTAAATCCTTTATTCATCTCACAAACAACTTTTATCATTTTTTAATTTCCCATGCATCACATGAATTTGCCAAATCCTCAAATACGTTAGCATTCCTTAAGAACTTAATTTTCTGTCCTCCTTAATTCAAATAATTATGTCTCCCCTTTTTAATTCACCTTTTTTTTTCAATGGTATTGATTCAAATATAGTTAAAAAGTTATTCTTTTAAATTGTGGGTAATATTATATTCCTTCAGAATATATTCTGGCATCTTGCCATATATAACTATTGTAAACCAGAGAGTATACATGTAAACAATGTTAAAATACAAAATAAATTAAAAAAATAAGTATATTCTAACTAATTGGAGAATGTTAATATGGCTGTTAAATAATAATTATTAGAGAATGTTGTAAACACGCCTATTCAGTGTCGCCATCTATGATGCACGATCGGTAGTCGTATGTTGTTTTTTCCCCAGAGTCGTGTCCACTGTCAACGTCAACACAGACGTTTTTCTTTCGTCACTCTGTATTCAGATAAAAGTTATGTTAAAATAAAGATCGGTTTGTTAAACGCGAAATGTGACTTCAATAATACCTGCACGAACACAACAGAGAAGAAGACATCTTCCATTCAACTTTATTAGTAATTAAAACTGCAGCTTCAATTCATTTTACTCATATGTTATTAGGAACACAATTTTGGTATAAGGATAGAATGTTCTTCAATTTTATAATTGACCAATATAACTGTTTGTTAACTAATTATATTGAATTTATTACCTTTTGATTTAATTCCACTTTTATGAATTATTAAAAGTTAAATTGTTCAAAGCAAGTCAATGTCAAGTTGAATTTTCCCTTGCTCCCAAAAAATTAATTATTTTTAATTTTTGTTGACATACAACTATTTGAAAATTTGTGTAAATAATAATGTGAGTCAGAGAGTATATATATGTGAGTAATGAAATTGGTTTCTGACCCATATTAGATTTATCATCTCAAGAAGATCTATTATATTATTTATTAAATTTCCGAAACTTACCCTCAAAAATTTCGTTTAAAAAAGTAGAAGAATGTACAAAGAATTTTAGTGATAAACTACAATTCTTCCTGACATTCTTTCACTTGAAAGAATGTAATAAAATAGTTTTGCCTTACGACAGTATATCTTAAAGGCAGGCATCAACTTATGTGAACTATAGAAAATCTGTGGTCTTTAACTATAAACAAATAAACTTATAAAGTAAGTGTTAGTATTTATTTCTTGTAAGTGTTCTAAATCAGTTGTTTACACACAGGACTTAAGGATTTGCCTTTATGATGGAAAATATTTTCACTTCTAAATGGTTCAGAATTGGAAAGTTTCTGATATTTCCAATATTTCCTATTTCAGTGTTATTCAATTTTAACCATTAAAAATAACAA